TGCATGGTAGCTTATTCAGGAGAGAATTTATAAATGCTTTTAATCTCTTTGACTTTTTGCATTGCTATAATAATTGTTATTGTTATTGGCAACAATTCATAGCACACACTCCATATATATATATATATATATATATTTAAATCGTGATTATTATTGTTATTGTTAATGCGCGTCAAAACGTGAATAATCTAATTACATCTAAATAGGCAAACTCTTGAGCACTCTCTTGTCATTCGAGGATGAGCAACAGAACAAATTAGGTAGGTAGCCAGCGCCGTAAATTGTTGTAACAATTTCTCACAGGAAATTTATACAAAGAAAATACAACAGAAGCAAAATATACAACTTTCTAAATAAAAGCGTTGTACAAACTGCAGTACAACGCTATATAGAAATCTAACTACTCTTCTATTAAAATACAAAATTTTGACGTTGTTTCGAAAGGGAGTTCAAAAAAGTTATTGTGTACTTATTTGCTTTCCAGCCATTTATTGGCCTTTCATTTAATCCGCAAAAAAAGAAGTTATGTTCCTTCACACAACGTTATATTGTACATTGCTTTATATTATTGTGGAGTTTTTTACATCGCCCCATTGAATTTGGTAGAGTACATTGATTTTGTAAGGAAGTATGCAACATTTAACAAACATAAAGAAATTATATTCGGCAGGCGCTGAATCTCACATACTCTCCACTATGCTTTTCGCATTCTACTCAGCAAGTTCTCTTATTTGATACCCACATCGCGGATATTACTAAGAAAAACGTAATCGCGTCGTCTATCGTATTCATTTTGGAATTAACCCATTTTTGGGCCGATAGTATATCTTCATTTGAGGAGTGTACAAAATAGTTTTAAACATTCCGTCTTGTTTGCCTTATATTAAATAAAGATAAAACTTCAAAAAAGGGAAAAAAATTACATTCAATCAATTGTAAGTTTGCGTGGGTATGGCCAATTGGTTCCATTTTCCGACCTAAAGTGTAGAATGTTTCGCAAAGTATATGTGGAAAATTGCAGGGTTCTAACTTTTATAATTTCCGTGTAAGGGGCAAAACAACACACAGACATGGCTAAATCAACTTAGAATTTCACATTGATGAAGAATATATACACTTTATCGGATCTCTGAAGCTTCCTTTTGGGTGTTATATATATATTGAGTATATCCCCATCTTACAGAGGCTTTTATTATAACGTCATCGATAAATCGTTATATCATGGATAAATTTTATTATGTCTGCCCGTCAGGTGGCATTCTATGCCTTCTTTAGTTCAACCTACAGGCAGGAGTTATCGAGACATTTTGACAAAAGTTGGAACGCTGACATGTTGCGAGGTCAGAAGGAACTATATTGAAAACTGGCTGGATCGGGCAATAGTTACTCCCTGTATGTATGTTTGGATAGAGCAGTAGTGTTTGTAGAAACTCATCTCATATAACTTTTAACACTTTATGACACACATCAGTTGAGTTCTCTTGACTATAATATTTAACTTGTAAATATAAACTGATAGAGTAATGTTGACATGACAACAATTTATAGAATTTCAATAAATGTAAATAAATGAACAAAAAATTGGATTAAACAACAAAAGGCAATTAAAACTTGAAGAAGCAAAAGTTTTGTACATCATTTTCACACCAGCTAATTAACAATGACACGCCTTACATAACAGATGACTTCATATGAGACGATAGAAAGGATGGAAGCATGTAAGCTTTGCGATACCATTTGTATTAAATTTAGCTAAAATATGTAGTCTGTGTCAACTCGGCAATATCTTAATCTTAATGTCTGCCCATTTCATTCTTATTTCTTTTACGGGAATTTTCGCAACGTTCAAAAACGTAGAACTAGATCCAGAAAGAAAGGAAAATTTCCCTCAAATTATCGTTTTTACCAGCTATACCAATCATCGATCAAATTGATAATGATAGAAGTTAATCAGATGCATTTTTTGATGTAAAAATAATCCCCTCCAAACAACTGACACGAACAGCGTTGACTAAAGACAGATATTCGTTTGCTATCATTGTCCTTCCATCTTTTTGTGCGTAAAAGGAAAAAAAGACAAAGATCGAAAGAATACAAGAAGTAGGTAAAAAATAAAACAGAAAGAAGGCGAGTTTAAATTACAGTTATTTATTGAGATTTACTTTTCCTTTTTTGCTTCTTGTTTAAAATAATTCCGAAGTAAAAAAAAAAAAAAACAAGTAAAACCATTATAGTATGTCACTGTCCGCCATTAAATACCCTACACGATTTTGCTTAATACAATTATTTAAAATGAGGTGCGATATGTGTAAATTGAATACAAGAAAAAAAGACGGAGGGACAAGTTTGGATCGATGAAGAATGTGAATCTAAATCGATCGGTATAACTTAAGTTAATCAAGGTATAAGTCGACTTAATCAAGCACAAGGATACACGACGGACACCCGGACACACAAGCTTCGACCGATTCAAAAAGTGGTTCTGAGTTTGTCGGTGTATCTCCAGTCCTTCTGGGTGTTGTACGCACACGCACAAACTCAATAGGCTCTGTACAGCAAATGGTGTAGGGTATTAAATTGAAAACATTGTTAAAGAAAACAATACGACACTACACCGGTAGCAAACCATTAAGTTCATTACATGCAGTCACAACGTTACGCAGTTTTATCTTATTTGATTAATAAACTTATCCTAGTCTTTCAACTGTAAAGGGTCCTAGTTTATTTTATTATATATAGCTACTGGCAGCCTTCTTTTTTAAAATCCATTTATTAAAAATAAATTGTGTTTACTTTTTTTTTCTTTTTTGCTATTAGTTGATTAGAAAATATACAGTTTAAAACATTTCTCATCTCATTCAATATTCGCTAAGGGAAAGATGCGTTTCAAATTATTCTAAGCACAATTCTCTGACATAACTTTATGAGCTTCTCTTTTAGCGCACGAAAAAAATTTTACAAATATCATCAAATTTTAATAAAAACGAATGACTTTGCAGATAACGTTTGACTAAGAAACTTTTTGGAAACCATATTGAAAATTTGATCGATTGTGGTGGCTGTAATGATATGAGTTTCACTAGTGGAAAATACAGCAGCATTTATATGAAAAGATGCCAAGTAACTGGTTAGCAGAGTTTAATTATTTAGTGAATTATTTTTTATGTTGTCAGATGGATTATGCATGTCACGAGTTGTTTTACATAAAACCGCTGCGCTCCGCCATGCACCACTAACGACCACAAGCTAAAGCAAGCAAACGCATTATGTGCTGAACACTAGACGCCCTACAATACTCAAATCGACCGTAAACTTGAATATTCATCAGGTTTCTATTCGGAAAATTACGCCTTATAGAGTCTTGCTATGAGTTACGATGTCGTAAATGTTCAACATGGCAGCACTGGCCCACATATCGTAAGTCTAGCAAAAACCGGTAGCAGCATTGAAACTTTCTGTATTCACCCTCTGTATTATTTGTTCTAGCTAACGCCAGTTCCAGTCAACATTCGAATAGAGCTTTCATTTTTATGGCGCAGAATATAAATGCTATAAGAAATCTACAACCGGCAATCTCGTAAAAAATCGCCAAAAACCTATTCAACTTCATATTCATTCATATTTCAATCCTTTATATTTTCTTGTTCTTGCTTCTGGTTAATTTTCAGTATTCTGAGTTCAACTGCATGCAATTTTCTTATTATTTTTTTGGTATTTTCATATTTTCATTACGTATGTAAAACACTCACCTATGATAAACCCTTTAATGAATATATTGTATATATATACATAAACTTATATACATGTATATATATATAAACTTATATACATATAAAACACTGTTGTTTTGCGTTTCAATAGTTGTTTACGTTCATTGTAATACCTTCACTTACTGCCACACATGACTGTCATTTCTTTTCACAATATTATGTACTGTAGGGTGGTTATGTAGTTAGCCTACAGATTTTTAATGGTTGAATTAAATCGCACTAGCAACATTCTTATATCGAATTAGAATATGATTTTGATCAAGAATATACATAGATACGTTGTGAAGCCTCTGAAGCTTTCTTCTGTGCGTTGCAAACATTTGGTAAAATTCTGCGATGATGGATATAAATAAGAAATTTTATGAATTTAAAATTGAAATTACGTGTATAAAAAAGCTTCAGCAAAGTTCGTTTGTCAACAAAAAGGAATTTACCAAAACTCTTTCCCTCGTACGTCGCCCTTCGCCATATTACATGAATATTACCAGAAATTGAGGCTGAGTTGCCGAAAGTTGCCGCAAATCGCTATATGCCGCAGAGCTCATAAGATTGTGAGAAGAAGCCGCATACAGTTTGGACTAGAAAACATTGAGCACAAGTTCTATCTGCATCCTAAAACTAACCAACGGTTCTAAGCGCAATGAGAGAACGTTACTATTTTTAATAAAATAATATTTTGTGGGCATAGGGAACGAGAAGGATAGGGAGACGTGACTTCTTTTTTTGTTGTTCTTATGTTTCCTTGGGATCTCCTACCTTTTTCTAGTTTTCAAATTGAAATAAAAATATTTTGAAATATATTACAAAATTTGATATAGAATTTTTTTGTTAACAGTTTTTCAGGTCTTGTGAGGTCTTCAGATATTATCCTTGAGGTACATGCTTTCACATATTAACTACCATTTACATTTAACCTATATTCAAATATAATTCTCATTGGAAAAGGGGATCAAATTTCTCAAATCTTCTTCTTCTTCTTCGTGTTCAATTCAACAAATCAACGACCAAAAATTCGCTGAAATGTGTAAAAAAAATTTCGTAAGTATGATTACAGAGTTCTCAATTACACACCCGTGTTAAAGTGTAGCAAAACGGAATCGGGCAACTCTGTTGATTCAAACTCTTAATCGTGAAGAAAATTTTTGTGAAGACTGAAAGTGTCTCTGAATTTTAATTAAGAAATAAAGAAGACGAATTTAATTTTTATAATTCAAATACAACAGCAACGAAATGTCTTCGCGCAAAAGTTCTAGTCGTCGTCGTTCTGCCAACAAAAAGCAAGCTCAACGTCCCTCAACAAACGTGTTTGCCATGTTCAGTCAAGCTCAAATCGCAGAATTCAAGGAGGCATTCAATATGATCGACCAGAATCGTGACGGTCTCGTGGAAAAACAAGACTTGCACGGCATGCTTGCTTTATTGGGTAAAAATCCTACCGATCATTATTTGGAGCAGATGATGAACGAAGCACCGGGTCCAATTACTTTCACAACGTTTCTGACAATGTTCGGTGAACGATTGCAGGTCACTGATCCGGAAGATGTTATTAAAAATGCCTTTAGCTGTCTTGATGAAGGAAATTCTGGCGTCATACCGGCAGACCGTTTAAGAGAGCTACTGACTACAATGGGCGATCGCTTTACTGATGAAGATGTTGACGAAATCTATCGGGAGGCGCCTATTAAAGATGGCTTACTCGATTACGTCGAATTCATTAAAATTCTTAAGCGTGGTGGTAAAGAAAAGGTTGAACAATAAAATTAAGTTTGATTGGTATGCATGGGTAACGAACCTTTGCCTTATAATTCCAATTAGCAAACAATGTTGTATTCTTCTTATTTGATTAAATGATATCTCTACCGTAGTAAGAAATGTTTCTTGCTTTACATAAGTTCGTTCGCAATTACTTTTGATCCACACATCAGTTAACCCGTCTTGATTCGAATGTCAATGGCAGTCATTTAACTATATCTGCTGAATTATTTCTGTTTTATTTTCTTGTAACAATATTTGCATTTAGCTATCAAACATAGATGCATGCACATAGTGCTCCAAACCAAAACACTATATGCATGTTCGGTTCCGAAAAACCCCAACAAAGCTCAATCTGTATGGACAATTCTATGGCGCATTCAACATTCCATTACAAAGACGGTCCAATTGTTTCGTTTGAGGCGATGTTCGACGCCATGATGACTGCTTTGTTTATACAGCCATTTGGTGCTTGTGTTTGTATGTGCGACAAGTTTTGATTCAATTGTACAGAGACATTATTAGTGGAACAGGAAGCTAGCATAGTAACCGCATCACCGCTAGCAGCAGCGGCTTCATCGTTAGCTAAATGCTGTTTTCTTGGGAGGACGAAGTTTTTTTACTGTCAGGTGGTGATACAAACGTAACTAGTTCTGAGTTGGTTTCTTTTTGATAGCACTTACCATTCAATTCTTCATAGTCACTACACTAGTTTTGCGGGTCACTGAGTTGTGGCTAGAATTTGTGTCAGATAATATAAATTGCGGGTCATTTTAAAACTGGCTATACCGTTATCGCTAACGGCGAAGTCCACTTACATTTATATAGCAGCTAATCCGTTTGCTTAGGAATCCCTTCTTTATCCCTCCTTCTGAACCATCCACAAGCGTTTAGAAACAGATATTACGAAGAAAGAAAATTTTGTAACCAAACTGTATTTCTCTTTGACTCCCTCTTCCCTCTCTTCTCTCTCCATATCTCGTACTCCCTCACTCTTTTTCTCTGCCCTAACCTATTATATTATTTCTCTATACAGCACTTTTAGGTGGAAAAGTCATAATTTACTTGGCATCCGGCTGCGCTTAGTAGGCAGTGTAAGATTTCGCACGTACAGGTAACTTTTATATAACCCAACATTTCTATAGGACGGACTCACTGCAAGAAGAGTTGCATTGAAAAACTGATCACATTTAAAATGGATATACTTATTAAAATATCGGATTAGTGTCGAAAATCACTCACTCGTTCACGTTTAAATTTGATTTAAGATTTCTCTTTATCGAACATAACTCCTCTTCATAAAATTTCGCGATAGAATAAAATAAGTAGACATTGTTGCCGTGCACGGGCTCATTTTTCATAAGCTGCACCTGTGCTTTGGAAGGAATGCAAAAAGTATAGCAATGTGGTTCAAGAGGCAAGTGTATGCATTGTCGGTGGGTTCTATTAGCGCTAGATAATCAAATCATCTGCCCATATTAAACTGAAACAAGTTAAAGATAACTACTAATCATTCTCAATTGAGCAAAAAGGGGCACTTTTTAAGACATCTCTCTCATGCCTGCCTTAGATTATTACAAATGGAGCAGTAATATCAATATTCATTCTGTTTGATTAAGAAGTTACTTATGGTAATAGGGATATGGTTATAGGGATACATTACAGAGATTGTGCGTCGCAGTTCATTTATTTATCATAGTGCATTTAATTGAAATCTGACGTTCCAGCTTTCCATAATGTTCGCCTCATGAGAAAACTAAAACTCTAGCGAATGCATCGCAACGATAACTTTTTGTCTTTCTAATTCTGACAAGCATTTATGAAAGCAATATTGATTTTTTGAATGAAATCGCTGAGTAATATTGTTGGACAGAATCCTCCCGTGACATTTTTCTCAGATGGAGATCAGCCTTCTATGACCATACGTCGATGTCTACACTCAACGCTTTTTAAAGTTTGAATATTTCGTTAGATAAACTTGTGCAATCTGAAAAGAAAGCCGCAAGCAAGCCGTTAAATAGATAGTCAAATAAAGATATAATGAAAATATACTTGACAAACTTTACTTGTACTTGATTAACTTACTTATGGAAACATTATAACAAAAAGCTTAGTGCTCGCCTAGGGGTTATTTAATGCAGGTGCATTTGCTAATCGGAAATTATTACTAGACGCATTTTATCAGGTGTATCGGCCAACATTCGCATGCACAATTTACGTGTTAATGATAATTTGCATGCAGCTGATTGCATTTCCGCAGCTGCTTTCCATAATTTTCCATTAAGTTAACACGCACACGCACACGCACATTCAGTGCCATAAAATCTTTGCGAAATGTACATATCCCAAATAGGCAAACGAATTGAGAATAGAATATGTATAAATGCATAATTTCGACACGTATGCTGGAGTAACATAGATACCTTTACATTTTGATCGAAACCGTACCCTAGCCTACATCAATTATATATACGGGGGTTAACACCGATATCTGCAAGATGCAGAAAGACTTGAGACTAGATTCATCTTTTATATTACCGATCAATGTTTCCTGCATCTATGTAGGGTTCCGTATTGTTCCTTATGTTCAACTTACAGATCACAATATTGCACTACGTACGTGTTTTTGGGCTCAAGGACGAATGCTATGGAAAACGTTTTAGATTGGAGCACTTTTCGATCACTTCCAATAGAAGAGCTCATTTTGAAAGGTCTCCATATCACCAATTATAGGACGACGTATGTAATGTACGTAGTTAATGCTGAATCTTGGTCCACTAAAGTGCTTTAACTTGTTTTCGAGCTTTTTTAACAATTTTTAATTAAATTTAATTTAATTCGATATTAAAGCTAAGTTTCATCTTTCATTTTTTGTTTTTATTTTTCCATAGCAATATATTGCTCGCGTACACAAAGATGTTGGATCAGTTTCATGTTTTATCATAATTAAAATATTTATTATTTATGAGCATCCCTTTGCATTTGCACTTTGTGCAATAATTATGCAATAATCACTATAAAGTTACGAGAAAGTATTGCACAATTTTTTATTATGCATCTGTATATATATATATTACTTGGTTCAGTCACTTCGTAATCAAGTGAAGATAACACAGGCACGTTTTATTTGAATAAAAAAAAAGTGAAAAAAGAACAAACAAATCAAAGTCTCAGAATGATTACATTAAAGAAATAGCCCAGATCTACTCCAGGTTTACATGGGCACCTCTCTTAAAAGCCTACCTTATAGCACCCCACGGCACAACGAGTTAATTTATATAAGTGATAACTGGTGTCTTTCAGGGAGTAGGGCCATCCACACTAGGAAGAAAAGTTTCTACTGAGGTATTACAAGCAATAGTTTTGAGCTGTTTATCTCGCAAGTCTAGTTAGTGTCAAGCCCATCTCACTGTTTAAAGCCTTACGCAAAACTACAGGGAAACGTAGCTCTCTAAGGCGATGCACCTAGCAGTCATGCAAAGGGGCATTTTCCCGGTAATCTGATGAGAAATAGGTCATACTAATTTTGGCCAACCTGGACCGCGGAACCACCTACAATTTTTTTGACTTGTCGTCTGTAAGACTTACGCCAGTTATACACAGTTTGGGATGACTTCATATCGTACGCAGTCGAACCCACTCTTAACTTTGAAGTTTTTACACATCCCGGAAAGCCAATTCGCACCCTATCCCTTTTCAAGGAAATGCGCTTCAGAAGAAAACATGAGCATAATCCAGCTGCCTTTTACTACTTTTTACTTCCATCAAAACTAACTGAATAGGGACAGTAATTTGATGCAAGCTTTAGCAAAGACCCGTATGAGTCAAGAAAAGGGGGACATTCAACTCGTGCTGCTGTTAGGCTTACAAGAAAAAAACCCTCCGCCAGTTTGTAGATTATAAGTCTCCATCTTTGCCACGTACTGAGCAGTTCTTGAGGATAAAAACTATTAAGCACAATTAGTTTTGGATCATCTGCTGGGTATTACGTAAATCTGTTTCTGAGTTTCGCAAACAATTTCAAGGCATTCCCTAAAAAAACCACTGATTTATTATGGCAATCGTAAGTTGGCCGTTTGAAGGCACCGAATTCCCGTTTTGACAAAAGCAAATGTTTTTATGAGAATTTGAAAACGACACCAAACTTGAGTTTATACCTTGCTTGAACGACTATTTTAGCTAACATAAAGTCCAATCTGGTTCGTTAACTTAATATTAAATTAATACAAAAAACAAAATTGATGTCATTCGAAAACACTTGATTCGTTCTTCAATAAGATCATTTAGTCATTTAGAAAACCACTTTATCGATAGGTAATATATATCGAAGTTTTCCATTTTCCTCTCTTGGGTTCTTGTAACGGTTAGTCATCTTCTATTGTCTCTACAAATTACCAATGCAAAAGATTGCGGGAACGCAACGGTAGAAATTCGTACTGACAGTTTAGAAATAGGATTTAATACGCTACAACCATGTCAACCAGGAATATGATGAACAAGCATAGCGATAAATGTAAGACTGTATTTGCTAAAATGATTTAATGAAATGAATAAAGCAAATGAATGTAGGGAGAGTAAAGTGCAAGCCCATTCGTTAGCGGTGCTTAGAACGAGAGTAAGGCTTAATCAATCCGACTTCGACTTTGCACCAGCAAGATTCCAAAGAAGAACGAATTCCTCACAGAAGAGGCGAGGCCTGTCTCGATCATAGGATCAGCACAAAAAAAAAGTTCTCTAGGTCATCAACATCCCAAACTCTTACCTTTTAGTTCGATAACGCTGTAGTTTAGACGCAGGTCATGTCACTTTTATAAAAGGATTTTCTGAGTGATCCACTTTAAAGGATTTTCAAAATTAATTTCAAGAGATTTTCTTTGAAAAATCAAAAATAGACAAAACTTTTTGATATCAACATTAAAGCAGGTTATAGTTGAAGTTTGAAAGCCATCTGTCTAAGATGAGTAAACATAAATTGCACGACTGAAAGAATGATAAAAATTGCTTTT